GAAACAAAACATACCTTTCTCTTTTCAGCTTTCGTCCCACGTTTCAACGATGGATACAAAAAGTCCTTTTGCATTAATCGGTGTTTAGCATTGCGTACTCGAGGAGACGAATCATTCTGATGAATTGGTTCCGAACTAAAATCATTGCTGATAGTAGAGATACGAAACGTAATTTCAACTAAGCATCACCTTGGCGTTTTCGAAGTCGCAGGAACATATCCTAGTGCCATACGCGCAGCTCTTTCTTCTTTCAAACGATGTACACGTTCACGTGCCTTTTCAATATTTCTGAAAATTAACAGTAAGTCAGGCTGAAAGACAAACTTCCCATGACCACTGCCCCTTACTAGCTAACTGCAATTACACTTATGCTATATGTACGTAACATAACATTTATTGCTTCATCATGTTCTTAGGCCGCAGAGATTGTTACAATGCGAGTGCATGATCGGCCTGTGCTGCCCAATAACACGAATAAATGTATAGGGAACTTCCAAAAGCCAGATCACCAATTCTAGTCATACCTCTTTCTTTTCTCTCGCTTGTTGATGATGGCAGAATGCCGAGAAATTCCATCCTGGCATACTTCAGCCAGCAAACGATCCATCACCGCATTCACAGACACACCAAGTTTTTCCACCGTGCCTGTTGAAAAATTTTACTATGTATTACGGGCAACAAGAAAGTCAAATTGTATCTGAAGTTTGAATGAAGATATCAGGCTTGGAGCGAGACATTAGGACTAATAAATTCATAGAGATGGGCACTTTCCTCGTGAAACAACCTTTACGGAATGAGATTTCCCCCAGCAACTTTACATCATTGTTCTTCTGTTTTTCTTCGCCTATTCCTTTTTCTTCAATAATCACAAAATCCAAGAAATTCTAGAAATTTTTCACAGCGTTCATAATTGCCCGCAGACAGAGATGCTTATAAGAAAAGTGAAAAAGCGTGGGATTCTTTAGTATCTTCCGAAACAAGATAGTAATTAATTTACGTACCGTCACTGTAGTAAACGTTTCCGAGGACTGGCTTCACGGACGGCACATAGTGAGACCAGGGAGAGATGTACCTCTTTGCAGGAGTCTTTGGCTTCACGGGGACCACATGCTAAATATGAATGAAGGGTGATTTTTGAATTTTTACGCGAACAAAGGTTTACCAGTACAAGCGAGTCAATATTAACTTGAGTGACGTCGCAAAAAGTATTCGAACAGAAGCTTTTAAAACCTACTGGAGTCTTCTCCGGAACAGAGGTGCGAACTTCACTGGGTGTGGGCGCCTCTGCTTTAGCATCGTTGGTGCTTCCCAAAATTTTTATCCAAGGAGTTCTGCCAAGTTTTATTTTGAGCTTTATTCTTGGTTGCTCGTCCGATACTCTGCAACAAGTACGAAAGCTGGTAACACCCATGGAATATCGATAAAATAGAATTCGTAGAAAGTTGCATGAAAATAGGAATATGGAAGAAATAAAAATACTGCTGAATAATACTGCAAAGACTTGTGTAAAAAAGGTAACCTTCGAGTTTTCATAACATGTGACCTTCCAACAGCTACAGGCTTCGTTTTGGGGAGTGAACTCGCTCCAGATTGGATTGGGGTAGAGTCTACTTTGCGTTCTGCAAGCGCATCACTTTTCTCAGCGTTCTCTCCTGCACTGCCGCCATCAGCAACTACAAGCTCACTCGGCTTATCAGTTGTCACCTGAAAAGTTCACTTTTACGAACAGTACTTTGGTGAAATGGGCTTCAAAAATCTAGTAGAACATCCATCAAGGCACCGCAGAGTATATTCGCAAATATAAAATTTAGGGATTTAGACTACCAAGACCTCTACGGGATCATGCCAGGTACATAGGACTATCGTTTAATACAATCACATCGAGTATCTGCCAGAATGCAGACAGAATCTTGCACTTGGCTGTTTCATGGGAAGTTAGCGATGGGGAAGAGGTAGAGTCGTTTAACAGGAGCACCCTGCGGCTATATACCGCGAAGAAAGCGTAGCAAGCGACGTCCTGCGCACAGTTTGCACACTGCAACCGCGACGAGGGACCTATTTACTTTGTTTGCATTGATACATTGATCCCATTAGCCGCTGTCCGCGACGAGGCATCATGGCATAGCCAAGCACTCACAGCCGTACTTTAACCGCAGGAAGTCGACAGTTACAGCAAGTTAATCCTCCTTTTAGTCAGTAAGATATAATGAGCAATGACTCCAGCGTACCATAAGGTCACTACAACACGAATCCATATAGCTGGGAAATATCAGAACGAAATACCTCTTGAGCGCTGATCTTTTGACGTCCTCCCCTCCTCCTTCGAAGCGGTGAAATGAAAGTCAGCATTCAGGAATCGTGACGAAGGTCGAACTGCTCGTGAAGATATTCGCCCGTTGCTATATTGAACAACCTTAGAATTTCAAAATGACAAAAAATAGCAGTAGCCTAAAAATACCATGAGCTGACGGTGATATCCCCACAACATCTTGTGTCTTGGCTTTCTCAGGTTCCTGCAATTAGTAATTACGACTTAAAAGGGCAACATTTCCTAGTTCACAGCCACAAAATAATAAACCACATCATAGTTAACATAGGAGAGATAATCACACCTTTTTCTTCCTCAAGAGGCTTTTCTTCGCCGTTCTTGTCATCTAAACGCGAAGACTTTGCACTCTCAGTCGTTTGCACGTTAACGAGATTATCAGCCGGTGCAGAAGATGATTCCGCAACATCTGCGCGCATTTCGCTTTCTTCTTCATGAGATTTCAAAGGCTCATTTATCTGCTCTCCCGAGTGCTCCAGAAGCTTCTTCGCCATCTTTCTTCGACGTATCCGAGACAGTCTTGTCATCATCTTTAGACGGTACTGGAACCTCCTTGCTCTGTCCTTCGGATGGTTCTAAAAATTTGATTCTGCAATCAATAGATCTTCAAGCACATAATAACATGAATGTGAAAAGCAAGCCAAACACCACTGCCTAGGATGACAGGAATTGCTTCCCGCATACTGACCTTCCAATCCAACTTCAACATTCGGAGTCGTAGTAGGTGCTACGGGTGACACAGCAGCTTTTACGTCACGTTTAGGCAAAACTGCCGACGGCTGTGGAGAAGGTGATCTAAGTTGGACGTGAGTACCTACAAAACAATCTATTTCAGTCCGCTTTGTCTGCGAGTTTGGGGATTCCTCTGCGACTCGCTCGCTTTCAAAAAATCCTTTAAACTTGTCGTGTGATTTGCACACATATGAGCTGAGGCGGACAGTGGTGAAGGTCGATCTTTCATAGAAAATAATAGATTTGGGTTCATAGGCGTGAGTCAGGACATCCAGTCGCGACACTACATCATGATTAACCTAGTTGTACGCGTGCACGCGTAATATAAGTAGTTTTGTCTGAGTGTGGATTCGCGAAGGACTAGCTAACGCTAGTCGACTGTTTCTGTCAGGTGCTATCGTCTAACCTGCGAACTGTGAAGCGTCGTTCTAAACGTCGCAGATTTCATATGATCACTACGCGCGACCGACTTCACCTACATATAATGGGTTTGTGAACTGGGCAAATCATCCACTTGATGGAACGCTGACACAAAAGAAATAAGGTGCGACCAAGGTGGATAGCAAAGTGCCAAACAGATTTAATAAAGACTGTGATAGAGCAAAAGAAATGACGGAGGCCG